ATATAAGAAGTGTAGAGTAAAGAACTTGGAAATATTTCATTAATAAAATTTCCATGTGGAAATTATAAATATTAATTGGAAAGAAGAGAGAAGTTTTGTTAAAAAAATTTGAACAAGTGCTTTATTTTTATTTTTATTATTATATATATATATATTCGCATGATAAATCAGTCTTTAAAAAATTAGTCACGTTTTAAGATTAATCAAGCGAGTTGAAATGAAATGACTATGACGGGTGCAGCAACTTGAAAAGATATATTAAGTCTAGTAAGCGACAAGTTCACTACTTGGAAAGTAATATTAAGTCGAATTCCAACGATTTGATTAATGATTACATAGAAACTTGATATTATGTTTCAAATCAAATAAATAATATTCACATCGGTACGATGATATCGAATTATTTATTCGTGCGAGTAACTTAATTTACTTAGAATAAAGTGACAAATGATTAGATTCAAATGTAACTATATACTTGACAACTATAACACGTATACGTAGGCATGGAGACAAGAATACTTAGCAAATATCGAATTGCTAAAAATACCGATAAAATTTATTAATGAAAAAAATTTTTTTTTCAACGTTAAACGTTCAGATGTGTAAACATCTCATACGATAAAGCGTTTCTTTATTTCGTTTCATTTTATTTTTTCCCCCCGTAATTATCGTTTATATTAAAATAAAAATAAACTCGAATCAATATTTTTAATTGGAACAACTATGACATCTATTTATTTTCCCTTTATAAAGAATCAAAAGCTGAACAAGGTGATAACAGTATACCTGATAACAGTAGATTATACGAGTACGAGGGAAGACGACTCGGAAGCGTCTCAATGTCCGCGATCCGTGTACGCCTCCTCGACAAATCGATTCTGACAAAAACTAGGCGGTCCTGCAGGCCGAGTGGCGCTCAACCCACTTTTTCCACGCGCGAGAAACCCGCACGGAAATCAACGACGACGAATCCGCCTTTCGTTCAGCCATCGTTTACACTCGACTTTTATCCTCGACCTTCCGTGATCATCGACTTCTTCTTCTCTTTGCGAATTTCAATGGAAAGGAAAAAAAAAAAGTGAACAATGCGATACGAGGAGAAAGTTAAGAGAATAATAAGGAAAAGTAATAATGTAAAAAGGGGAGATAAATATAGAAAGGAAGATGAAAAATTTAAAGGAGAAGATAAAATGTCGAATGCAGAGAAGACAATGGAAAGAAGAAAAATGAAAAAGAAGAGAAGAATGGAAAAAGGACGCGTGAGCATTGAGAAGAAATCAAAGGGTGAGGAAGAGAGGAATGAAAGAGAAGGCTGTACAGATGGCGCGAAAGTAGAGGATGATACAGATGGCGTAAAAGAGAAGTATGACAAAGGATAAAAATAAAAGACAAAATAAAAGAGAGAGATAAAGGAGATGATGATAAAAAAGAAAAAAAGAAAATGAAAAGAGCGTGATAAAGAAGGTAGAAAAACAAGGATGGCAGCACGTAAATGGGAAAAAAAAATGATAAAAGGGAGAATAATGGTGAGACTGGATTAGAGGGTAAAAGAGAAAAATTAGCTCAAACTTTTATTTTGAAACATTCATTAGTCAGCTTTTTTTATAAAATTAAAATTATTTTCTTTTCCTAATATTTCTATTTTAACATATGCTATTATATTTATCAAAATAATTGCACCGATTTCGTTACTATCTTACATTTCAAGAATTTTGTTTTTTAATAATATTGTGAAATTTAATATGCTTGTAAAGAAAAATATTTAAAATTATCTTATTTCTGCTAAAATAATTATGCCATTTATAATTAAAAGATTATTTTTTACAAAATTCCTATTAAAATTCCTATTCAAATATTCCTATAGATATACTATACTAATTTAAATAACCTTACTATTTTTATTAAAACGATTTTATAGCCATTATATATTTATTATATTTATAATCATTTTCAATTTCAGAGTCTAATTTTACCAATATTATTCATATATTAATATTTAACGTTCTACTATTTTCACTAGTATATTCAAATTTCAAGGACCTGTTTGCCAACGTTGCAAAATATAAAATTTATTTCGAATTATTTATGTAAAAAAGTTTTACCTCTTATAAAAACGAAGATTGATTTTATTGAATTTTAATTTTAATCACAATATTTCAGATAAGAATATAATCATATTGCACCTCTAATAATCGATTTAATTGAGAAACAACGTTATTTGCATATTCTTACGCACATAGCAATCATTAACGCAACAAAGTGATAAGTTTACTTTTCATGACTTGCAGCAACTCGTAGAAACTGGAATTGCAGTTAACGAGTCAACATTTTCTCTTTTCCCGCTTTCTTTTTTCTTCTCTTTTCTTCCATCACGCGAAAATGGACGAAATATTTTGTTCTTCTTCTTTTTTTTTTTTTTTGCAATCTTTGCGTTATGAGATAAATAACATCTAGTCGAAACATGACAAACGTAGAATCGATTTCTAATATCGGTTCAAGAAGCGGCGGTGGGAAGGGCAAAAGGGGAGGAAATTTATGAACGACGTCGATTTCAGGCGAAATGTCTCGCCTTCGAGCACCTTCAACGCTCCCATAAATATTCCCGATCCTATAAATTTAATAAACGATGGGAATTCGTATGTGGTTAAAAATTGAACGATCTGATGGAGTGAAAATTCAATTTTTCTTGGTAGATTGCCTATATATATTTAATGTTGAATTTTTTTTTTTTTTGAATTTTGAAACGATTGAAAAAATGATATATATATATTATAGAATCATTACAATTATTCTAATGTGTACCTAATTGCATTCACTATTGTATGCAGAAGTAATATAAAGATGGTTTTTAATTATCCATATTATTCTTGAATTCATTAGCACACAGGTAAAATTTCACTTTTGAATATGTTATTTTGATTATATTAATTATTTAAACAAAGTACTAATATTTAATTTTAGTACTTAATTAAAAATAATTGGAACACGAAATATACATATATTAGTAAATTATTATTGAAAAGATTAAGAATAATAAATAAAATGAATATTATTTGTCTATATATGGTACTAAAAGATATTACTATAAAATATTAAAAATAGTAAATTCTTTACAAATTCATTGATATCTAACAATTAAAATTAAAAATCGACACTGTATCTTTGTAATAATTGAAAAAACGTAAAGTCTGAAATCTAAATTTTGATCTGAAATTTATTGATGAGTTTACCAACTTTGACGTTAAGAGGAAAAAAATAAGTAACGAAAAAACATGATAACGTAGAAGATGTATGATGTTTTGAAGAAAAACAACGGATCGAAAATCTGTTGCTCGGAACGGTACACGTCACTGACGCGACACAGTCGCACGGATAACCGTTATTCCTTATTTGCTTAATGAATTAAGAAAGCCATGAAAAATGGCGTCTAATCGCTTCTGGATTCTCTCATGATTCTGCATACCGTGTTACATAAGTGGCTATCAATTTTCATAGATAGGCAAAGCCGCGTGCATTGACGCCAACTCGAGCACCTTTCGAAAAAATCGCACGACTTCACACCACCAAGCTGATCAATACAATACCCACGCAACATTAAATATCACTGGAATGCCCTAACACTGCTCTAAATTTTCCTATATATAAAATGCAAACGAAAATTGTCACGTCGAACGGAATTATTTTCAACGAGAAATGGAATAATATTCGAAACCGATTACTACTCGAGTCAGTTGTACGATTGTACTGTATATACGTATATGTACCATGTATCAAGTGACTAAAGTTACGGAATTTCCTGACGTTTCAATATTCATTTTCCTTGATGCCCGTCATAATGGATTTTATCACGGACACAGATTATCATAATTCGATCGCTTTTACGATCATGAGCGGAAGAATCGTAATAATTTCACGCGTGACTAATTACATTTCCATGCACCATGAGACTGGAATCCGTTTCAATGGTGAGAGACTGGGCTTCCGTGAGAGCTCGAATTTCGAAATCGGAACTGTTCCCGATGAAATGTTCATATTACCAATTTCAAGGCGGGCCGAACACACGTACATGGTTTTCATTTTCAACGAGCGACTAAAGCGGAGAGGTGGTTCCGCTGTGTGAAAATGTACACGTATTATGTACATGTATACATACATACAAACACAACACACACACACGCGCACACACACACACGTAGCGATCTCACGGGCGAGCGTGACACGTCGAGAAATCTATGGCTTCGAGAGAGGACGGTCGGAAGACGGACGGAAATAGGAAATGCGTCGGTCGAATGATCGGAAACCCTTTTCGTCGGACTTTCAACGTTTCCGTCGGCAACAGCCACCATGTTAGCGTTGCCTTGAGCTGCCTTTATTGCGCAGCAACCACGTCGAAAAAACTGCCCCGCTTAAACGCGTTCGTTATCTCTTGCAAATGAGGGAAAAAAATACAAACCGAGTACACATGAGGAGATGGATACTTATGGTGAAAAATATCCACATCTGCAATTGTACATTATCGAGCGGAGAGCAATCTCGTTACAGTACTACCGACTTTCGTTCGCGAATAAATTCTTACTGCTGGATATTTCTTCGAATCAATATCCGAGGATTTCTCGCGATGGAAACATGTCATTTTATTTTACAAATGTATATTTTATGCTAAAACGTAAGTGGCGAGATAGCCTCAAAATATTTATATCAAATGAAATATAAATCTTGGTAAGTAAGAAACAGAGTGAAAAAAAAAGGAATAATTTCATTCATCCTTACATCAAATTCTTAATATGAAAAGAAGGTAGTACACAAAGTAGAAATGATTGCGATAGGAAATCATGATTTCGACCCATTTCCGGACCGACCTTCGTACCATCTGCGGTACATAAACAAGCACGGAGAGGCTATCGGTAATAGGCATGCAGGACTAGCCAACGAAACCACCGTAATTTCGCGGGTAATAAAAAGTTGTTTGGAAATATTCATAGACAAAAAATTATACTTACAGCATCTTCTTGGTGGCCGAACTTGCGAAGCACATCGCGGTGGCGGCGGCACAGCAGTCACGGTCACAGTCACGTAAGCCTCGACAACGGCTTCGACGAACACAAGCAAAAAAACACTCATCACTGTCACCAGGCTGCCCTTATTTTGGCAGTGGATTGTAATAAAAGTCCGAAAAAAGAGTCCAGGAGCACCATGCGTTCGAATTATGGAATCGAAAAAAAGAAACCAATGAATTCTCGCCGTCTCTGTCCCGCCTGTTTCGTCCTTTAATCTGCGAGAACTCAGGAACACCAACGATCCGTCACGAATAATTACGGCACTCGAATTCTCTCACTTGAAAGAAATCGCGGCACAGATTTAGCAGAAAAGTCACTATCAAGTAAGCACAGCTAAGAAAAAGCAGCGCGCTCCTGGCTCTTATGATTTTAACCTAGCTTAGTAGTGATTCGGTGCAGTCGAGTTTCTTGACTGAACGACCGATGCTTGCCGAGCCGTGCCCCACGAGACGACACTGCTGCCAACTGTTTCCGCAGTACTACGAAAAGTTTCTACACCGATCGTAAAGGCGTTTCGAAACTATTTTTTAAAAATTCAGAATTTGTTTCTGAAATTAAATAAATAAATTTATAACATATATTAAAAAATATGAAATTTTTATTTGGAATAAAATTATCATTTCAAAAATTTCGTTTGGAAAATTTTGTAAATTTTATAATTAAATTATAGAAATATATTATGTATATGTGATATAAAGATTAAATATATATTTATTGAATATATATTAGAATAAAAGACATTAAAATATAAAATTAATATATATATATATATATTTATTTATTAAAATTATTATTAAAAAATATTTTTATTTGTCAAATATTAATTTTAATAATAAAATATTTCAACAATATAGGATTCTTAAACGTGATAAATGTTTTAATTGAATGAAAATGTTTAATTCAATCTTTATATTTTATATGAGAATGCGTATAAAATTTTTCTTTTTTTATTTTTTTTCGATTCATATTTCATGATTATTAAACACCAGCTTATGACTTAATTAATTCCAATAATATTTCATACTGATAGATTGTGATATAAATAATATATTTCCATATAAATAAATATGTATTTCCATTGTTATTCTATAGATTTTTGTTGATAAAATAATATCAATAATCAATTTTATTTATTTTTTATTTTATTGTTATTGTTATTATTTTTAGTCTACTTTTTCGACTATTATTTTAAAATAATTGTTAAATAATACTATATCAATTAAATATATATAACAATATATATAACAATAACGAATTTTATAAAATATTTTAAATAATTATTATTTTATTATATTTATATTTGTTTTTTTTTTGAATAAAACATTAAACTTCATCATATTTTCAGCTAATATAATTAAATGAAATATTTTAATTATTGTAATATTAAGTGGGACAAACTAGAGAAATGTGACATCTTTGAGAAATGTATAATGACCTAGTATCGGTATTAGGAAGAAGGTCACTCTCACATCTAATACTTTTATTTGTGGAATGAAAAATAACATTTTAATTAATGTAAAGAATTATCTTATATAAATCTGTATAATTATATAGATTAATTATATAGATAATAAAAAGACTTATTAATATCAAATAAATATATTTTACAAATTAAATTACGAATTACACTAATAAATTATTGTTAATTTGTCAAATTCCTTCTTTCATTTAAGAAATGCAATTATATATACAAAAAAGTAATTAACTTACAATTATTCTCTTTAATTTTCAAAAATAATGTATAAAAAAATTTCCTCTCATTATAAAATAAGCACTCCGGCGAGTTTAGAAATCTTTTTGCAATTAAAATATTTTTCGATCATACGTTGGCAATGATCAGTTCGTACATTGGTCACTGGCCGAAGTGGCGAGTTCTGATTGGTCGGTTTGCTATTTGATTTAATGGCGTGGCAAATACCGCCGGCGTGGAAGGGGAACTAGATTCACAACGTTTAACTGTATTTGTCGAGAGCTTGGTTTTTCGTCCTAACCTGTCGATGTTACTTCGTCCGGATCGTAACATCGATTTTAGCCGAGGAACAGTAAAGTCTATCAACGAGCACGTCGTATTCAGTTGTCGATCACGTCTGGTGAACCGTCTGGTTCGCGTTGTAGCGATTTTTATTCGCGATTGACCATTGCTCGCAGGACAACGCTTGAGAAGACGCGGCGATGATGGAAAGCTGAGAATTACGGTTTTCATATCGTGCACGAGGTAGGAACAGATTTCGATGCGTAATTTAACGACTATATAGTGTTGTTTCGCATGAAAATTTGGAATTGGATTAATGTCAATTGTGATTGTTCCTGAGAATCGAATATGCTTTGTGAAGTGTCCACCTGTGAAAAAGAACGATATGAAATTGTGACGAAGATACAGGCTTATAAATTAAAATATTTACCAGTTTTGAAGAAGATTTGTGAATAAGAAAACAATTTGCAAAATTAAATATCGATAGCAATCTATATATCGTGTTAATGAATTTGGTTATAAAACGATTAATTCGTATGTTTTTCAATGATGAAATTTGGAAAATTTTGCGTATTGCATTAAAAAAAACGTTGTATAAAAATATATATTGTATGTAGTAATTGATCTTTTAAATGTAAAAAAATTTGTGTATCCTGATAAGTGTATTTTTTCAATGTGACAAGTATAATGTATATACATAAAGAAGATTTGATAAAAAAAAGTGTGCAATCAATTGTATACATCATTTGACAAAAAAAAAATATTATTCAAAAAGTAATTTAAATATATTTATTGTGTTGTTCGTAAGATTTTTTTTTTACATTACAATTAATTATGGGATGAATTTTTGAACAGTGTTAAAAATCATGTAATAAAATTTTTTATTTAAATCATTCATATAAATTCCATTGCTATAATATATCTACAATAATCTAGTATAATAATTTAATTCGAATTTTGTGATTTGTGAAGTTGACATACTTTTATTTAGTGCATAAGTAATGAAGATTCAACATATATAAATATACATATAGGAGGATAAATAAACGCGGAGCAATCTGCAGCTGGTCAGTAAAATTAACAATGTATTTAAATACGATAAATTGCAAGACTACATATATTAATATATATATATATATATATATATATATATATATATATATATATATATATAT